GATGTGGCAATGCAGCACTGTAGTCAAGGGTATGAAACCGCAGATTACCCTGTTTGTTGGTTCCCTGTAGTTCAATCCTAGTCACTCAGCCATGGCTACACAGTAATGCTGCATAGCATATAAAAATAAAGCATCCATATGATATTTGTTCTTCAACATAGAGGAGTGGCAAAGCAAACATGGTAATTTCACTGTTTCACACCCAATCATTTGGCCCCGACTGCAACACTGCACTACCACATCCTGTACCCGAGCCCTCACACTCCCTCAGGTTGTAGCACATTCATGTGGAGGCAAGTGTACCTGTGCAACACACATTATCAAGTACCTGTGCAACACACACATTGTTAACACTAGTGTAAACAATGTTAATCACCAGTTTAATAATGTTAATAATAGTGATAATATCATCACCAATTTAACAATGTTAACACCAATGTAATAATGTTCACACTAGTGATAATGTTAACAGAAAATTGTAACAAAGTTAACACCAGTGTAGCAATATTAACATCAGTGTAATAATGTTAACAGACCAATGTAAACAATGTTAACACCAGTATAAGTGTTAACATCAGTATAAATATGTAACACCAGCATAACAATGTTAACACCAGTATATCAACATTAACACCTGTATAACAATGTTAACACCAATATAACAATGTTAACACCAGTATAACAATGTTAACACCAGTATAACAATGTTAACACCAGTATAACAATGTTAACACCAGCATAACAATGTTAACACCAGCATAACAATGTTAAAACCAGTATATCAACATTAACACCTGTATAACAATGTTAACACCAATATAACAATGTTAACACCAATATAACAATGTTAACACCTGTATAACAATGTTAACACCAGTATAACAATGCTAACACCAGTATAACAATGTTAACACCTGTATAACAATGTTAACACCGGTATAACAATGTTAACACCAGTACAACAATGTTAACAGCAGTATAACAATGTTAGCACCAGTATAACAATGTTAACACCAGCATAACAATGTTAACACCAGTATAACAATGTTAACACCAGCATAACAATGTTAACACCAGTATAACAATGTTAACACCAGTATAACAATGTTAACACCTGTATAACAATGTTAACACCAGCATAACAATGTTAACACCATAACAATGTTAAAACCAGTATATCAACATTAACACCTGTATAACAATGTTAACACCAATATAACAATGTTAACACCAATATAACAATGTTAACACCTGTATAACAATGCTAACACCAGTATAACAATGTTAACACCAGTATAACAGATTTAACACCAGTATAACAATGTTAACACCAATATAACAATGTTAACACCAGTATAACAATGTTAACACCAGTATAACAATGTTAGCACCAGCATAACAATGTTAACACCAGTATAACAATGTTAACACCAGTATAACAATGTTAACACCTGTATAACAATGTTAACACCGGTATAACAATGTTAACACCAGTATAACAATGTTAACACCAGTATAACAATGTTAACACCAGTATAACAATGTTAACCCCAGTATAACAATGTCAACACCAGTACAACAATGTTAACACCAGTACATCAATGTTAACACCAGTACAACAATGTTAACACCATTATAACAATGTTAACACCAGTATAACAATGTTAACACCAGTATAACAATGTTAACACCATTATAACAATGTTAACACCAGTATAACAATGTCAACAACAGTATAACAATGTTAACACCATTATAACAATGTTAACACCATTATAACAATGTTAACACCAGCATAAATGTTAACCCCAGTATAACAATGTTAACACCATTATAACAATGTTAACACCATTATAACAATGTTAACACCATTATAAATGTAAACACCAGTATAACAATGTTAACACCATTATAACAATGATAACACCAGCATAAATGTTAACACCAGTATAACAATGTTAACACCAGTATAACAATGTTAACACCAGAATATCAATGTTAACACCAGTGTAACAGATTTAACACCAGTCAAAAAATGTTAACACCAGCATAACAACGTTAACACCAGTATAACAACGTTAACACCAGTATAACAACGTTAACACCAGTATAACAACGTTAACACCAGTATAACAATGTTAACACCAGTATAACAATGTTAACACCAGTATAACAATGTTAACACCAGTATAACAATGTTAACACCAGTATAAAAATTTTAACACCAGCATAAATGTTAACACCAGTATAACAATGTTAACACCAGTATAAAAATTTTAACACCAACATAAATGTCAACACCGGTATAACAATATTAACACCAGTATAACAATGTTAACACCAGTATAACAATGTTAACACCTGTATAACAACGTTAACACCAGTATAACAATATTAACACCAGTATAACAACGTTAACACCAGTAAAACAACGTTAACACCAGTATAACAACGTTAACACCAGTATGACAATGTTAACACCAGTATAACAATGTTAACACCAGTACAACAATGTTAACACCAGTATGACAATGTTAACACCATTATAACAATGTTAACAACAGTATAACAACGTTAACACCAGTATAACAACGTTAAAACCAGTATAACAACGTTAACACCAGTATAACAATGTTAACACCAGTATAACAATGTTAACACCATTATAACAATGTTAACACCAGTATAACAATGTTAACACCAGTATAACAATGTTAACACCATTATAACAATGTTAACACCAGCATAAATGTTAACACCAGTACAACAATGTTAACACCAGTATAACAATGTTAACAACAGTATAACAATGTTAACACCATTATAACAATGTTAACACATAACAATGTTAACACCAGTATAACAATGTTAACAACAGTATAACAATGTTAACACCATTATAACAATGTTAACACCATTAGAACAATGTTAACACCAGTATAACAATGTTAACACCAGTATAACATCGTTAACTCCAGTATAACAACGTTAACACCAGTATAACAATATTAATACCAGGATAACAATGTTAACACCAGTAGAACAACGTTAACACCAGTATAACAACGTTAACACCAGTATAACAATATTAACACCAGTATAACAATGTTAACACCAATATAGCAATGTTAACACCAGTCTAACAATGTTAACACCAGTATAACAATGTTAACACCAGCATAAATGTTAACACCAGTATAACAATGTTAACACCAGCATAACAATGTTAACACCAGTATAACAATGTTAACACCAGTACAACAATATTAACACCAGTATAACAATGTTAACACCAGTACAATAATATTAACACCAATATAACATTATTAACACCAGTATAACAATGTTAACACCAGTATAACAATGTTAACACCAGCATAACAATGTTAACACCAGTACAACAATATTAACACCAGTACAACAATATTAACACCAGTATGGCAGTGTTAACACCAGTACAATAATATTAACACCAATATAACATTATTAACACCAGTATAACAATGTTAACACCAGTATAACAATATTAACACCAGTATAACAATGTTAACACCAGTACAATAATATTAACACCAATATAACATTATTAACACCAGTATAACAATGTTAACACCAGTATAACAATGTTAACACCAGCATAACAATGTTAACACCAGTATAACAATGTTAACACCAGTACAACAATATTAACACCAGTATGGCAGTGTTAACACCAGTACAATAATATTAACACCAATATAACATTATTAACACCAGTATAACAATACAGCACCACTCAGTGACCTGGGTCAGCATGCACACTATTAGCATGGTGGCATATTGGTAATCTTCACTCAAGCATGATGGCAGAAGGTGCAATATCTATAGCGGTCACGGGTCTACAGTATCAATCAGGGGCAGGCAGTCTTTACGGAAAATTAGCAAATTAGGAGAACTCTTGAAGTTCTTACTTAACCCTCAGGCCCCGGGTGACGTTCCAGAACATCCGCCTAATTTCCCACCAATTCATTTATTTAATGATTTATTTATTTACTTTTTATTATTTTTGGAAAAGTTGATTTTTTCTTTATTTATCCCCGCATGGGGGGGGGGGGGGGTTGGGTTACTGCCAGCAGCACCCTAACCCGAGGCTTAAGGGTTAAAAGTTTTCTAGTGACTTCAGTGTAATCAAATTTATCTTTTTAATCAAAAACAATAAATAAACCAAAAGTCAGAAATGAACTGAAGCAATAGAAAATGCAAGATCAATATGAAAATTACTCTAAAAAATAAATCAAAGTGTATTGCCATTTCTCCTGAATCATTGTAACTTGTTCAAAAGTTTTAAGTATGAAAAAAGAAATTTCTCCTTCAAGTTGTATATGCAGTATTCTAATATTTCATATAAAATTACCAAGTCTTGTATATCTTAATCATCTTATATAATTTATACTGTTTTATTTTTCAGTTTAATATAATGCAGTATTATATTAACAAGTTCCAAATCTAACAGTGTATATTATTGTAAAAGTTTACATATTTCCATCAAGTTTAATATGTTCTTATTGGTACAGTAGTATATATACTGAACTGTATTTTGATTACTTGTATGGATGTTTGTTTAACAAAAGCTTTTAAATTTGTCGTTTAATCAGCAGTTAGGAATTATCAGCAACTTCTTCATTAATCAAGATCATTTATGTGAAACACATCTACAACCTTCATATCATTGATTTATTTATAAAAAAATTTACATTTACAGTATTTAGAATAAGTGTGTTTATTCTTGTTGTTGCTGATATTTTCAAAATCACTGTAAGACCATTTTCAGATAACTCTTCAAATAACTTTTAGTACTTCAGCTGTCAATCCCATACCACCACCTAAGTCATATGAAAGAGATTATAAGAGCCACCACACACTTAGCAAGCCATTAATGAGGCCAAGCCTGATGGGCAGTGGCAAGCAGCGAGTGGCCAGGCCCAAGCAGAGTGGTGTGCATGAAACCACTACTCCAGTACCTGTAGTGAGGACATGACGTTGTTGGCCAGGCTACCCAGACGGCCTGCCACCTTGGTCACACCTTGCCGCACTGACTCTCGGACCTCATCCAAGTCTGGAGCCTGGGGGGGGAAGGATGGACTGGGATGATCCCACCATACACAAAATCCTGTGGCTTCCTATGGCACAGTGACCTTCTAAATCTTGTAGTTTTCTATAACATAGTGACACTAACACTTTGGATTCCTATGATATTCTTAATCCTGTGGCTTCCTATAGTACAGTAGTGACCCTCTAACTCTAGTAGTTAGCTACAATAGTGTACATAGTGATAGTTTCTCCAGCAAGATTCAAATGCCTTACTGTACAGTACACTATATCTATAGACAGCCTTCCTCTATTATTTCTCTTGGTTTCATAAAAATTTCTACTTTAATGATTACTACTTGATATCTACTTCAGCACACTACTTCTACTATCTAGTACAAAATATATTATTACTGTAAATTATAATTTAATAAAAAATCCTTGTTTTCAAATTATCTAAAATAAAAACTGTTGAGTTGCCTACCTTATTTTTTTTTACCAATCAAATAGTGTTAAGCAGTCTTCTCTAGGGGCACAGGTATAGTGGCAATGTGCACTTTACAAACTTTATTTGGATAAATTCCACTTAAGGCATTTTTTTCACAGAGTTTTAAAATATGAGAAGTCAAGATGTCACAGCTGACTGCTGATGATTTTTCAGGTGAAATATAAAGAGGTAGATGTTTGAACATGGAACCACCAAGAGGACACAGCTTCACACTAAACACTGATAAATATGTAATGACATTGCAACTAACAAAGTCTCCTATAACTACCTGATTCCTTACCTAAATAGTAATGTTCCCTACTAAAACTACCTTGGTCTTCATGCTCTTACAGTAGAGAGCACTCCTCATACTGCAATTTGACCCACTCCTTAAAAACCTAAAAGGAAATATTTCTTCTTAAAGCAGAGCTTCCATACAGGTGAAAAATGTTAAGTGGTACTGTACTAGGTAAGTTGGAGAGCAAACATTAAACACAGGGTGGGGAAGGTGTGCCCCGAAGAGTAGAAAAATATCAATAATGTAAATCCTAAAGTAATTGTTTTATTATTAAGTATTTTCAATGAAAAATCAACCACAAGGAGGCATTAGGTACACTAGTCAGTCAAGATGCCTAACACATTTTGCCATCTCTATATAACAACTTTGAAAGAAAGAGAAAACAGGTAATATAAGTATTGATGTAACACGTTTACCTTTCAATTCTTTTTTAATTTAGTAACAAAGGAGACACAGTATAGCTGTATAGCAATTTGTTTTTATTTTTGTATGTTCTTTTCGGATTTAAAAGGTATAACAAGACCTTATCATTATGATAAATTATTCTAAGATAGTATATGTATATTAAGAAGAGCAAATTGTACTTACAGGAGTAATTATATAATATACATAAGAAAATTTCATAATATATATGCAAGGGTAAAGAGTGGAAAAATGAGATCAAGACTTTAAATATCCATGAATGAACAGACTGTCTCAACAAAACCTCTGCCTCAATGTACAAGTCAAGTTTATATCTCCAGTCATTGTCTATGTCTATTATTTTTCTTAGTAACAGTCAGAGCTTTTATAAGAGGCTTGAAATTTCAGGGCAGTCATGGGTGTTGTTACACTGTGACAAGCTGACATACTCCTCACATACACACTTTCCTCACAGCCAGAGCAATCTCCTTTGTTGTTTGGGATATTGTACCTTTTTCTTGAATTTCTAGGCCTATCATTATACAGGGTGTAATGGGTATTACTCTCTATACAACCTCACAACTCCCAATTTAATTTTTCCGAATAATTCTGTATACCAAATTCTGACAACTATTTCTGTACTTACCTAATTTCTTGACATAATGTAATATGTAAATCTTGCACCATAAATAATACTGTTCTTCACTCTTTCTACTCTCACAACCCAAGATTCCTACTCTTCTGAAGATTTAGTTATTTATCTCTTTCCAAGACTCAAAAATTTTCATTGAGTACAAGTGATCACTATGAACACTTATCCAATAATGTTGGTTAATCTATCCCACTGTAAATACTCTAACGACTTCAGCTGGGAAGAAATAATCATTGTGTTAATTCTCTTTTTTTTCAGTAATAAGACACATCTAAATCACTTGCTAGTCAGAATCCTTGACACACATAAAGTTGTAAAGTAACTTAGTAAAATTACTTGAGTATTGTACTCGAGTAACATTTTTGGATATTTGCATTTTAAAAGTACTAGAATTTCTCAGTACTTTTACTTAAGTATGGCTTTCTAATATTTGTACTCCAATACAATTAAAAAAAAAAAAAAAAAAAATCGTTACTTATTACGTGCCCCAAATAATAGTTTTTAAATATCCAATCACAGGACACAGGACAAACTTGGAAGCAAACCAGTCACAAGCATTTCTTTAAATCTGGAACAATCACATGCGTTCTTTCGTATCATTTCATTTATGTACCCAAGCGATGAACATGGAGTTTAAGCGGCCAAGCCGCCCATTCCGCCATTTCCTTGTTCGTTGCTATGGAGGCAACATTCATCCACAAACTCCTCAACTGAAGGACCTTGATAGCTAGTTGGCATGCCCAGGGGATGGAATGGAGCTACTGAAGTCTTTGCCGACATTATGTGACTTACAGTATCTCTCAAGCTTAATACCCCACTACCTGCATCTGCTGCTTGTGAGCCTCAGTTTAGTCATGCTGGGCTTATATTTTGGCCAAAAGGATCCTGATTGGACAGCCATAATTTTGAGAATTAGTTATTGATTTATCTCAATAGAAAGATTTGCAAATAAACTTGTGTAATGCTATCTGTCTGTTATTTTTGTCTTTAGTTACTAGCCTTTTATAATTTATTGTGGATTTATTTTAATATTTGTGACAAATAATAATTTTGTTGTTAATTTTTACTTTCAGTTCTTGAGTAATTTATGAAAGATACACTTTTTTTACTTCTACTTGAGTACATTGAACTTTGGATACTTTTACTTCTACTTGAGTAACATTTTGCTAATGTAACAATACTTTTACTTAAGTAACAAAAAACGGTACTTTTTGCAACTTTGGACACACGCACCAAAACTCTCCCACTGATAAACCTAACCTAACCAATACATCTGACCCACTAACAAAACTATGCCACTGAAATGAAACCAAATGTGGACACCAAGAAGAACAGAAGAGGAAATGGAAAGACAGTTGCCAAACAGTGTGTCATGTTGGGCTTCTGCTCTGTAAGTCCAGCATAATGAGAATATAGAAGATAACATGCACAAAGAAGCAAAAAAAATCAGTTTTCATTCACATTTATAAATCAAGAGCCTAATACTGTACTTGCCAATGGGCCTTTTAAATGCATTCTTTATAGATACCGTAAATTATAGACATGGGTTTTCAAGGTGCTTGGAGTGTCAAATTAACACCTTTTTTTTTACAATATGCTAAGTTAAATTGGGAATAGTCGAGTGTTACTAAATAAATGAACAGTAAATGTATTTACATACTGGCTCTCCAAAATTTGACTTGAAACTCCAAAATAAACCTTTAAAATCCTTAATATAGGAGTAAAATTAGGTCTCGGGCACAAGCATAATTATTCCTTGAAATAGTTAACCCACCTGTATGGTTCCTCCACTATAATTCTTTTGTGCCTGGCCTCCACCAAACAGATCAGCTGAGGATATGGAGGTTGAGCCCTCATACCGGGCCAGAGTTGAACGCACTTCTGCGTTAGGATCTCGGTCCTGGAAGAACATATCAGAAGAGATGGCCTTTGCATTGCCAAACTTCTGCTGAGCCTTGTTGTCCTCTACTGCAGTGTATTTGTAATTGGCTGATGCAGAGACTGTAAAAATAACAATAAAACTGATGTGGAGGAACTGATGCTAAATAATGAATTTGGGGATGGACAAACTGCTAGGGTGATGTACAGTGCAGTATTAACTTACAGGGGTGAACCAGATGAGTCACCATAGAAGAACACCTGTAGTAAGACAGTAACAAAACATAAGTAAGAAGTACAGTATGTCACTAAACTGTGGCCCCATGCCATATAAATATTGTTTGAAAAAAAAAAAAAAAAAATGGAGAGCAGTATAACAAGTAATGCACCTTGACAAATACAACATGAGAGGCAGAGCATAATACCTTGAACAATTTTAACTTGGGGGAAATTGTAAAGTGACTGATCAAAATGAGCCCTAGTTTTGATAAGGCCCCAATCTAGTCTAATAATTAGGATTGGGGCAAAATCCTATTAAGTCACAGCCCCTCCCCCTCCCCAGTCTTATTGGGCCTCAATCCTAGAGGTTAGGTTAGGTATGACTGAGACCCATTTGACCAGCCATCTCTTACAGACACTTACTTAGGTTTGAGCACTTGGTAATGTCAAATCTCTTTGCTGCCCAAAATCAGTATGACTTTAAAACATCACAGGAAAGAAACAAATCCTACAGATTTAAAAACAAATAAGAATAATATTGCCATAAATCGTTCAATATCTTCATAGATAAGATAGCTAGAGGTGAAAGCATGAGTGAGTGAATGAGAGGGGAGCAGGTTTGACTGATAGAGAAATGGGGTGGGTTATGGGAGATGAGTCTGCTGCTGTTTGTATATGACATGGATCTAGTGGAAGACTTAAGAGAAAAGTTGGTAATATTAGTGAGTGAGTTTGGATGAATATGTAGTGGAGAAAGACGACAGTGGATATGAACAAAAGTTGGTGGAATTGATGATAGAAATAAGATAAGGAGAAATACATGAATAATTGAAAGGACAGAGATGGATGGAATACAGTGCTTCAGGTGTCTTGGTGTGGACATAGTGTATCTAAAAAGTACAAATCACAGCAAACCTTTATTAGAGGACAGATTTCCAAGGCTACTTGATGAATTTCCAGATAGAGAATTACTGTTCTTTTCAAACTCATTGTCCCAGGCTGAGGAAGGTTTGTTGCTTAGAAGATCATCAATGCCTGAACCCTTGCCACTAGCAAATCCATAATTATTTCGTTCCTCAAATGGACTGTCACGGTACCTGTAGATAACATGAAATCATTACTCATTAGATCACATACATAAGATGGTCAATACCATCTGTATCTAACTAGCTACAAAAATAATAATAATGGTTGCCCCTCGTGTAACGAGGATGGCCGGCCCAAGGGCCACCTAGGCGTGAATTTGTTTAAGGAGTACAAGCTGTAGCCAACACACCAACCACACCCTAAGTTAACGAGTTGCATGACCCAGTGTCAAGGAATAGTCCGAGAAGACTGGACAACTCGCCAACTGCACTGGCTAACCATTACCCTGGAATACGATCTGCAAATCCGCAACATCCAGGTTCCAAATTACTGCTGGGTAGACAGAGGAAAATGGCATAAAGAAACATGCCCATAGTTTCGCCCTACCAGGGGATCGAACCCAAGTCCGCTCACTTGCAAGGCAGGCATGCTGACCATTACACCACTAGCTATAATATTATATTCACCAGGACAGCCTTTAATCCCTTCACTACGGGAAGCCACTTTCAACATTTTATTTGGCTAATGCCAAACAATTTTAATCAGCTCAACTGACTTTAACACAAGGGGTTAAAGCTTCTATGTTTTTGGGAATCAAAAGTAAAAGGAAAAATTTACACCTTCAAAAAATGTAACTTAAGGCATGAGTCGGCAAATCACTAAATTACAATCTGGAACAGTAAACCCTTAAACAATGCGAGGATTAGGTTAAAGAAAACCCCATGAAGACCCAAAACCACCATGTTCACCTACGGGAAGCTATGGGAAGCCAAAATTGTCAAAAAACGAAGAAAAACCAACTCCATACCACATTTAGTTTCCACATATGCACTTAATTTTTCTTATTTTATAGTTGAATATTATTTTTCCCTATTTCTAAGTTACATTAGAGTTGTAAAAAGTACCAGACTTTGTTACATAAGTAAAAGTATTGTTACACTGGCAAAATGATACTCAAGTAGAAGTAAAAAAAAAAGTATCTGATTCATAAAGTATTCAAGTATTGAAAGTAAAATGTAACAACAAAATTATTAATTGTCTCAAATATTAAAGCAGATCCAGAGTAAATTAAAAAAAACTATTGAGTTAAAGATAAAAATAAAAGACAGAGCATTACACAAGTTTATTTGCAAATCTTTCTTTTGAGATTAATCAATAACCGATTCTCAAATTTATGGCTGTCCAATCAGGATCTTTTAGGCCTAAATATAAGCCCAGCATGACGTACAATCCATTGCAGGGATAATGAACAGGCTGAAAATATATCCATCCAACACTATGGTCACTTTCTTCCTTATCCACACAAGTATCGTCGACGTGGACTTATGGTCCACAGAGACATATGTTATCTCTGCTTACATTAGGTAAGGATACAGACCTATATGGCAAGTATCTGAGGTGTGGGATGATCAGCACTTCTCTTCCTGTAAACTCTGTAACTGTCCCAACACTAACACCCTTCAACACTATTGCTTGACTGTCCCACTGTCAGGGACCTGCTACCACAGGACAAGTCACTGACCACTATATGTCATCATTTACTTATCCATAATAATTTAGATTTAATTCTTGTACACTACCCGCACTTTGGTAGGTGCTAACTCCCATTGTCCTTAAATCATATCAATAATGTCTCCATATCACACGTTATTTCATGTGGTGCGAGACACAAGTACCAATGTATTAGTGTCAGACCGCATGGTCTTGTGACTAGGTTTGTCGCCCCCTGGGGTGTAATAAATTAATTAAATAATAAATAATAAGCCCAGCATGACTAAACAGATGCTCACATTCAGCAGATGCAAGTAGTGGGGTGTTAAGCTTGAGAGAAGTCACATTATGTTGGGAAAGTCCTCAGTAGCTGCTTTCCATACCCTGGGTATGCCAAGAGGCTATCAAGCTCCTTTAGTTGAGGAGATTGTAGATGATTGTTGCCTCCACAGTGACTGAGTATTACTAAGACTCACCGTGAACTGTCCCTCTAATTGGGGTGTAGCTGTGGTAACGCCACGTTTCAATTCTAATTGATGAGTGGCTGAATTTTTCGCACCATGCAACACCTGGTAGGTATTGGCAGGGGGGGAGCAGTGGAACTTAGTTTTTTAAGCAGAATTTTCAATACACTCAAGTCTCACACATACGTATAGATACAGTGAGTTCTGCTATAACGCGTGTTTTGATAACGCGAATTTGCTCTAACGTGATTTATGAATTAGGAACGATATTTGTATAACGCGAACGCTTGTTTGCTATAACGCGATTTTTGCTTACTATTTCTCCAATAATGTGGTACAGTATTAACTGTGAATATAGTAAAGAAGAATATCAACAAGAAGCGTTCTGGTGATAGAATTCCCGGTGATGATCGTAAAAGAAAGGATATAACACTTGAAGAGAAGCTCGATTTTATCAACCTCAAAATCACCCTTCTCCCCCATCAAGTAAAGTGTTACATTTACTGTATGATTTCATTATTAGATATGAATGTAACATTTATTTAGACTGTGCTATCCTTTGTGTTAGGCTAACTACTAAATTTTTTCGACTTCGAGTAATCTGCACCTAACCCTATTTTCTCCATAAGCTCTGTTATTTCTATTACGCGATTTTCTATAACACGATATTTTACAAGAACACAATTATCGCGTTATAGCAGAACTACCTGTACAGGCTTTATATTGAAGATGGAATTGTGTAAAGCATTTTAGAATCACAGCCTCTTTGATATTCATTTTAGGTACAGGTACAGTATATGCAAAGAGCAACTGACATCTAACAGGAGGACCAAGCCCCTGAAGGAATGGTGGAGGAGAAGAGGATTTTGTATGTATATTATGTATGTGCTCCATTTATATACATTATTTATTCAGCCTAGCTAGCAGCGTGTGGCAATGTATTTACGATGTCCCACACGCTTAATTAATGCGCCTGGCGACACATGGAAGCTGCTAATGTATCACTTGCCACATGTCGCCTGAAAGGCTAGTTGACCCCCAGACAGAGTAGGGAGAGCCGTTTCGCTTGTGTACCTCTGTTTGTCCAGTAAATAGAACCTACGAAAACTCTACAGGTGTTTGTGTTCGCTCCTGTAGATAGAACTTGGTACCCAGAACATATACAGATTTGATGGTGGAGGGGAATAAGCCTAGGTGAGGTAGGTGGTCAAGGTGCTAATGGACACAAGACAATCAAAGGGAAAGTCTGCTGTCATGGCAGCAGTGGCCCGACCTGACCTGAGGTCACCTCACCAGACCTTTAGGTATGTGACCGTGTGGTGTTTCCCCACACCCACACTGTACCCTTCACGGCTCCACCCACACAAGTCTTTTACTATGGTTAATACTGTAATTAATTAATTAAAAATCTATTATTAGTTTGGGTCATGTAACAAATAATGATTTTTGTGTTTTTCAATTGTATTGGAGTAAAAGTATTAGAAAACCTTATTTAAATTGGCTTGAGTACAGTACTCGAGTAAATTAATTTAGTTACTTTACAACTTGGAAAACTAATTATGTTACTAATCCTACTAAGTACCATAAGAGGAACACTGAGATATAGTAGTAGTGTACATGTTTATTAGAGCTAGAGTACTTTTATATTCTGGCATAACCAAGACACTTTCTGACAGTGAAGAGATGATACTTACTTGGGTGGACCAGAAGGGAATCGAATGATGGTTTCAAAGTCGTCCTCTATATCCTCGTCTCTGAAGCTAGTGTTGTTATTGTTGTTGTTGCCACGATTGGACTTGGCTCCAAGAGGAGCTTCTTGCTTAATGGTTTTCATCTCTCCGAACATGCTGTGAGACGCTCCACTGTACACAGCAACAAAAAGTATCATAGCATTACATTCTGCTCTCACCATACCTCAACCCTCCTGTGCACACGGTAAATTTTTAAGTTTCCGTGACCACAACAAAAGTCATATGGGACCACACGTGTGAGGTCTGGTCTTCTTTGATCTGTGGCCTATTTATCCAACAAGAAATAGTGTTTTGCTTTGCATAATTTATACATAACGCTTTGTTACTGCTTTGGATTTAACATAAGCAGAAAAAAAAATAAGACAAGACAAAGAAAATACTTTTTCTCTCTCTTCACAAGTAAGCTAGTACTCCCTCTCTCTCTCTCTCTCTCTTCACAAGTAAGCTAGTACTCCCTCTCTCTCTCTCTCTCTCTTCACAAGTAAGCTAGTACTCTCTCTCTCTCTTCACAAGTAAGCTAGTACTCTCTCTCTCTCTTCACAAGTAAGCTAGTACTCTCTCTCTCTCTCTCTATTAATTCCATTGCCAAGTACAGTACTTAATTTTGCAACAATCCTAGAAGAGAAAATGTGTTTTCTTTTAACATGTATATTTTTTGCGAAGGAACTTTTGTGTTCTATGAATTCAATTGCCTGTGCACTGTATAATTTGTTTTATAACAGTTTCCAAAAAATGCAACTGCAAATTAAACCTACTGTATATCTGCTTATTTTACTGTTATGTAAATAAAATATGCTTGCTAAAAAAAGTGATAATTAAATAAAAAGGGTATCCTTTACAATTCAGCGGTTCCCAACCTCAGGTCACGACCCAAATCAGGGTCGCAGGGTGTCCTCAGTAGGGTCGTGAGGGGCCCTCAGACAATTTAAAAAATATAGTACTTATCATAAAGTCATAAAAAAGTTTTTGCTTCACATTCAAGCTACCGGTACATAATATATTATATGCCTGAGGGTCACGACACCGTATTGTTGGGAAATTTAGGGTCGCAGCCAAAAAAGGTTGGGAACCACTGTTTTACATAGCCTTATCTTGAGACTTATATTGACCATAAAAGCCCCCCCCCCCCTTTTATGGGGAATAGCCCACTGGTTGTAATATACAGTTAGTGGGAGAATACAAAGCCCAGCCAGGACATGTGGTTTTAATTTCATAGTGATGCACCAAAAGTAAGTCTACTGCGCTGTGCATGTATACTTACACATTTTGATATGTTTTGCTTTCACTGGATTTGATTTTTAGGAGGTTTTATCTCAAGACAAAATGTTAAACTTATCCATTTAACATTACAATAAAACCCCCATAATTGGAAATAACAGGGGCTCTTATGAATTATAGGATTTTACAAAATATGGGTAACACTCACTCTCTCTGCTGACACCTTTTTCATGACAAAAATTACAAAGTACAGTATGCTTCTGCTTATACCTTTGTTTATTCATTTTTCAGTTGTTTAGATGTAAATGTATCAATCAAAGGTAATAAATAACATTGTTAGGAAGGTACAGTATCTTCATATCAAATGAAGATTTAAAGATAGCTGTCTTTTCACATTCGCGTCTGTTAACATCGCTGGTGTCATTGTAGCCAAGTTAGACTCATCACTGTAACCACCAGGCTACTGGACCAAGCTGTGAGGTGTTATGGTTGTTTTTCAACTTGTATTTTTGGGTAGATTCAAGGGGTCCCCAACTTACGAATGTCTGACTTACGAACGAAGTCCCATAGGGTCAATTATTTTAAGGTTCCGACATAGGTACAACTAGTTCGTAGTGTTAACGTATGAGAACTAGTTTGCATGGAGTAGAGGCGAGGCAGAGCAGCGGGTGGGGAGTATTACGTCACCCAGTCACAAGCCTTGAGGGAGCATCAGTACGCTTTACCCTCGCCACAATAACGTGTGTGATCAAGTGCAAACTGTTGTTTTCTGCTTATTAACTATTTTTCTGCCCTCATCATGGCTGACTAATGCAAACCTAATGCAAGTGATAGTAGAGCGTTCAAGAAAAGGAAAACAATTACAACGGAAGTGAAAGTTGATGTAATTAAACCCTCAGCCATTGGTTAAGTGTTGGGCTTCAGTCAGTCAGCGACCAGAACAATTTTGAAAGACAAACACAAAATTCTTGAACATGTGAAAGGATCTACACCAATGCACTGAACTGTGATAACAAAACAAAGAAGTGGATTGTTAACTGAAATGGAAAGATTGTTAGTGATATTGGTGGAAGATCAAAATCAACAGCGTTTGCCTTTAAGTCTAGCCTTGATTCAGGAAAAAGCAAGTTATGTGTTCCAACTTACACATATTTTGGACTTAAGAACATCCTCAGGAACAGAACTCATCTGTATTCCCGGGACTCCCTGTATATGTAACTTTCTTAATTTATTTTTACTCAGTTACGTGCACACACACCATCCTACATATATATTGTGGAAAAAAGTAAAAGGCATAATAGTCATTAGGGTAAACACATAAAGGGAATACAGCATGCCCTTAAAATTTGCAGATGACACCCTGGATGTACCCACGAATGTCTAAGGGTAGTTTTAAAGTTGCTGGCATTTTCGCGGCCGGGACAGGGAGCCGTTCATTCTAGATACAGTAATTTCGTTTACCTGTATTGTATGTGTGTGTGTGTGTGTGTAGACAAACACACACACAAAGACACACACAAAACACATACAAATAAATAATAATGGGAAAATCCTCTCACAAATAATCAGAAACAAAACAAAATATTACAAATGTGAATCTACCCTCAAGTCAACTCCATGCTTTGTTATTAAAGTTATGACAAAGCACAGAGTTGACTTAAGGATAGACTAACATTTTTAATACATTTTGTCATCTTGTTTCTGATAATTTTTGAGAGGATTTTTCCATTATTATTTATTTGTATGTGTTTTGTGTGTGTGTGTGTGTGTGTGTGTGTGTGTGTGTGTGTGTGTGTGTGTGTCTGCATACACAGGTAAAAGAAATAATTGTCTTCTCAACTCAGCTTCAAATGGTTCTCTTACATTCTGTTCCTTCAACTTCCACACTCTTCTTCTCAGAACATACACCTTCTACCTTTCTCTGCACCTTCGAAGCAACAAGTCACACACAAGCAATCTGTGCTGCAGTAAACAATCTGTATATTTTGTTCCACCTGACTCATACATAATCAATCTACTCATTCTCTCCTTAAACATCGGGTTGCATACAATCCTGTTCATTACATCCCCAAACTCAAGTATTCTTTCACCCAGTTCTGACACTACACAATGCTTAAACAAAAGTTTCAGTGGGTAAGTGTTAGTTGGGTTAACTGTCAACTCTACTATCCATCAATGTGGACTATCTACAAAAAGTCTGAAAATGAGTTGTGTAAATACTCTAGTTTTGACTGAGTAGAGCTAATACCAACCAAGCAACCAACCAAACCAAACCAACCCCAGCCTCTAATCCCATCCAATTTAATATAAACCAATCCAACTCAGTCCACGGAGCAACACTCCACTTACCTTCGGACACCGAGCCCCATACCAAGACGTTCTGCCTGCTGAGCTTTCTTGGGGTCAACTCGCTTCATCCTCTCCTCCTCACGTTTACCAGCCAAGCTCATGTTCTCATATACTTGTTCCAAATTTTGTAACTGTAAATGAGAAACAAGTTTGATAAATGAGGCCTGGGTGTAGAAAAGTGGTATCAACAAACGTTTTACATTATCTGCTTGACTCGTTATCAAATTTAAGGTTCTATGAAAAATTGACATTTCTAATAATAAAAAGGAATTTAATTAAAAAAGATAATTGAAAACTACTTGATAGATAAATGGATGGATAAACAAGTCATTGTGTAATGCCCTTCTACCACTGGGAATGAGAAAGGCAATTCATTTCTGCATTTATCCATTCTCTACTACACAGTATAATATTACACAACAAAATCTGAAGTAACAAACCCTCCCATATTTTCATTCAATCTAATTACAGTACTTTGTGTATTCAGCCATGGTACAGAACCTTAAAGAAACAAGAAAAAACAGAAAATGGGGTATACAGGACACATGAGAAAGCTACTACAACAAATACGGTTCCATGTATACTTGCTTAAATGATTCCTTTCTTAAGAACTGTGTGTACTGTATAAGTTAAATAAGTATAAGCAAATAAGGGCGTAGTCAATTCTACTAAGTGTTGATTTATCCCTTCCCTGATGCTGTCACTCTCCATATCAATTCAGCCAATTGAGCCACCACACACCGTAGAGGGAGGAAAATTGAGCAAAGAAAATCTACAGACAAACACTGTGCAACTTGATACACCATTCCAGTATCACATTCATCCCATAATATACATGTAACTATTACTTACTGATTGTTGTTGTTCTTCCTTGGACATTTCTTTGGCCTCCTGTTTCAACTGGTCATTGCGGGCTGCCTCCTTCTCAATTACACTGAAGTCCTTCTTCACTCTCTGAGCACCAAGTCCGCCAACTTTCTTGGCTCCTAACTGTTAAGACAAGAATAATAAAATTCCAATCACTGTTCTTTAATTGTGTAAAATACCAAAACTATATGAGTTGGTGTCACCATATCAAAAGCTACTGTCAGGGAAGGACAGTACTGTAGGTTGAATAGGCCTCAGTGTAAATAGGCTCTTACCTAACCTAATTAAACCATTACAATTGGTGCCTATTTGAGGACTGATGCCCATTTGATCATTCACCAAATAATAACAAGTATCATCAATCTTTAAATGATTCCATTTTAAGTTTTTTCCTACAGTGTATCAACAATGTAGTTCCTCTTGGTGGTTCACCATACGTACACACTCATGATCCAAGTCTTATCATTTAGAAATCATGAATTCTAACTTCCACTGACTCCTCACTTCAAATCATCTTATTGTATTATTCACTGCATCTCTATTTAAAAGTTCTTATTTTTGGGGCTAATCTTCTTCTACTTTTAGTCTTACCAGCTTGGAAATCTCAATATTTTTACATCTACCGTATTTCTATTCTTCAGTCCAGGTGACTGGCAAGAGTCTTACCAAGTGACTGCCCTACCAGAATCATGCACTCACTCAAAAGATATCATGTATTCAGCCTTTGGATTCCTGGAAACAGTGAATCTTCCACTGTCAGGTTAATGGACTGATTAACTTAATTATACAGTCTGAATGACTGACTGACTGTTTGTTACTACTGTATCCCCAGTGCATAAATGATATACAGTAACTGGTGAAAAGTTTAACCTTGATGACACTCTTATCTATATCATTCTCTGTGCTGTAATGGTGCTTAAAATTCACATATCATATGAAAACTTAACTCAGTTAAGGTGGCCTTCTCAATTAAGCAGGTTTGGAATGTGACACAAGCAATGGTTTACATGAGAGGAAAACTGGTATCCTTTCATTATGTGGAAATCAACACAACATGTATAAACACAAGCCATGTAAGCATTAAAAGAACCATACCAATCAAATTAAAAAATAGACGATTTAGTTTCAGTAGTCTCGATTTAACGGAATACGATATAACGAACTCTCGAATTAGCTCGTTAAATCGAGAAAATACTGTACTGTACTAGCCACTTGAAAATGAGAAGGCTGAAAAGGTGCATAAATACATTCTTGAACATTTGTAGATCTGCTCCATTTTAAAATGGATTATAATGTACAAATAACTAGTGTGGTTTAACCCCTTAGCTGCAGGTCATGCTTCAAGTGTTCACCAGGTATACATAACATGTGAATATAAATTGCTGATAATAATGTAATCTACATTTATACACAATGCACAGTGGCCAAGACAAGAGAGACACACAGTACACTGGATGTGAAAAGGGTGTTTATTTTAAAAGGGTCATCATGGCCAGTCAAAAGGCAATAACAGTCATGAACACTGAAATTTCAAGCCTGGTACAGGTACTGTACTTTAATTAATGATGTTGAGTGAAAAATAAATGTACATAATCATAAACATACCAATGTGTTCATTACCCTAATACAGCTAAAGGGTTAAGTAAATAACACAAGTGCCACTGCAAACATGATATCCACTAACAAAATCACCTTAATATTCACAGTATAATTACACAATACTTAGTTTAAGTAACACATCATAAGGAGGTCCATGCCAAACATAATTAGTAAATGTCATCTCTTTCAATTGTTGACACAAAGTACAAGTGACCCTTACCTGATGAAAACAGCCTAATATATATGGGAGTCATCATACCTTTTGTTACAGTATAAAGATGTGTTCACCAGACACAAATCTTTCCAAAAACCTAGAATATGAATGTGTAATTGTCATTTTCACCAAGATGACAATATGTATTAGTACAGTATTTACATTTTTGTACACTTTTATTATTATTATTATTACAGTTTATTTTTTCCAACCATGAAGTAGAGTGGCTAGGCAAGTACTGATCCCCTTATTCTTAGAGCCATTAGGAAGTCCTAAGAAGGTTGTTTCACAGTTCAACAATATTCTTCTATCATAGCCAAAGCAAACTTGAGTGTGTATTTACCCAAGTTATATCCATATTATTGATGGTGCAAAAGCTTTGTTTAAAGATGGGAACCAACTTTTCCACTCTGGCTGTGAAATAAATGCAGAGCCATTCACTTGTAAGGTAAATCCTCTATTGCTGAGCTCTGGGGGTCAATGTTTTGTATGTAGACTCATAAAATATATGAACATCAAATTATTTTGAAAACAAATAAGACTGAGCACCAAATTATCTTGAATAAAAAACTAAGGTTACCAATATTTTTGCTAGATAGGAAGTTCTATAACAGATGCCACTTGTCCAATGTTCAGCATAAAAGTAAAAACACAGATTTTGTTTAATTTTGTCCAATACAATTCATACAAATTTCTGGATTATTCTTCTGGAACTAAGGTAAGAATTTCATCTCCATGCCAGTTAACTCCCTCAAGCTTAATCTGGATTATGTGCATAACAATATGAAGTAAACAGAAGCTGGAATTTGGTGTGAACCTCCCTAAACAGCAGTTGACCAGAATATGAATGAGGCTAATACAGTAATGATGTTATTAGTGGATATCGGCATGTCCCCTCACACACTCCCTCCCCAGCACTACCTTCAACGTTGAACCACTGCAATCTACCTGTTCACAGAAATTATTAGGTTAGACTTCATTTTCAAACACAATTGAAAAAAGCAAGTTATGGGTCAAACTGCCCCAGTCCTAATAGGCCTAAACCCTCTGTAACTTAAAACTAACCATTGGGGTACAAGAGGGGCCCCTGACAAATGGAGCCCATTAGGACAAATTCCTCAATCCTAATAAGTGAGGTTATAAAAGGCCAAGTAGAACTGGGGTGCATTAGCATTGGGACCCATAAGACCATTTAATAGAAAATTAATTAAAAACACTAGAAATAAATACTATATAAATACACTATTTTAACAAGTGCACTATATCATACACACCTGGTGTTTGTTATAATGAACAGTTAAACAAGACCTGCTTTGTGTATTTCCAGTCCACACATCTTTGGCAACAACAAATTCAATATATTCCTACAGTTGTGATTTAACTGTACTGTATGTCCCCTAAAAGACTTAGAATTTCAATCACATACCTTGAAAACCTAATTAGGTAATCCAAGGATGCATATTAAGATGGGTTATATACGGTACAGCTCCTCCCCGACTTACGACGGGGTTAGGGACCCAAATCCAGGTTGTAAGTCGAAATGGTCATAAGCCGAAGATGCTTAAATAATACAGTGGTCCCTCAGTTAACGAGCGCCTCGGTTAACGAGCTCCCTCCCATAAGATTCTAAAATTCGGTTAACGAGCAACCCCTCGGTTTACGAGTTTCTTACGAGCCGACCTCAACATGTTTTCGCTTGCACTGGCTGGTCAACCAGCTGTAGCATTTTCACAGGGAAAAATAACTAACCCAAAGTGGTCAGGATATTAAGGTATTGAATGTTAAAAGAGTGTTTAAAATAAATTCTTTGTTTAGTTCTGTACATAGAGACTTGGGGATAAAAACTGTAATAATTTGAGCTTATTAAAACCAGTACCCTTCATATACAGTAAAATGCTTATATTTACCTTATTATTCAGCTTGTCATTTAAGGATATCATATTGGAAATGTCTCGTAGAGGATCATTATGGTATCAAATTCATCTCTTTAACAAATAAAGTTTATAACGACTGCTGTGAGGAAGGCAGGGAGACATAGAAGGGTCCATTGGGGGGTAAATGTGACTGTGCCACCCCACCCCAAGGGTCACCTCACTATGTTTATTAATGCCTGTACCCTTCATATACAATACAGTACAGTGCTATGTATATATCTCACAGGTAAAAAAATAATGTCATTCAAGACATCTTCAGGACATAAGACCCACTAATTCCCAACCCAACCTTCATCACAAGTGTTAAGACGTGAAGTGTCTACTTATTCTAAGCTAAAGGGACAGATCTGCTGGTGAGTACAATATATACAGTAGTATACAGTATTATGTTAACAGTATGAACAATATTGTACAGTGGTGTAATAAATAACTACTACAGCTCCTACAGGTTGTAACACAGCTCTATTCACACCTGTGTCATATACAGAGCTCTTGTTTTTTAAAATACAGTGATCCCTCGGTTAACGATTTACCTTCCATAAGATTCTTAACTTCGGTTAACGAGCAATCCCTCGATTAACGAGTTTTTAACAAGCGCCCATCCACATGTTTTCGCTTGCATTTGGCGGTCCACCAGCTGTAGTATTAGTTCGTCAATACAGTAATCGGTTCTAGGGCATAAATTCCTTTCTATTTTAGTAAATATAAAGAAGTTTATACTATTCAATAATTTTAAAAGTTTTATATTAAATTTTTTACTAATTTTAATAATTATTGAACATAATTGAAGTATAGGAAGCTATTTTTTGCGTGCCAAACAGCCTGTCAACACACCATACAGGCGTCAGTCTCTGTGTCTTTTCAGTGGAGGTAACATCTTGCTTCAGACTCTCTTCAACTAAACACTTTTTTCTGTGTTTCCAAGCAAATTATTGGTCAATTTTAAATTTATTTTACATATTGACAATATATAATGCAGTTAAGAAAATAATCTTGAATTACACCAAGAGAATTCAAATTTTATTGGTGAAATGGCGCCATGGGGTGACTTCTCTTCCACCCTAATGCCTTCTCCTCTTCCTTCTCCTCCACCCTCATTCTAATTCCCATCATCATCATCCAGGAGCCTTCTACATACACACCTCAAAGTAGGTGTACTTTTCTACTTTTTTTGTTGATTTTAGGCAATTTTCGGTGAGCTGGAACCAATTACCCAAAAACCCATTGAAACAATGGTTTCGGTTAATGAATTTTTCGGTTTACGAGCAACCTTCTGGAACGAATTGCGCTCGTTAACCAACGGACCACTGTATATTTATTTAACCAAACCTTTAGATAAAGAATTCAGGATTATTTTGATAAAAGAATGGTGTGTCTAACGAAATTAGACCTAATTTTACTGACACCAGTATCAACATTTCTTACGGTTGTTTTTTTATTTAAGAGAATGGAATTCCCATCACTATATCATATCAAAATATTTAGTTCAGGGATATCTTATGGGGGATATCTTATGGGAAATGTCTCATAGAGAATTTATTAAGGATCATTATGGCATCAAATTCATCTCCCTATCAAAATTAGCCATGCTTGAATGAGGACCAGGGGGAACTGACCAAGCAACCCTCACCCCTTTAACCCCCTAAAAGGTTCACTTCCCGCCAACAACACTCAGCCCACAGCACCCACATTGTGCTACACATACCAACATTACCTACACCCTGCACCCTTACATCACACACGAACACACCCTCCAACAACCACCCACACACCTCTACACCACCCACACACAGCCCCAACACTATCCTCACCCCACATCACCCACACATCACACACCCCCACACACACACTCAACAATCACCCACACACCCCAACATCACACCCCCCACATACACACCCACACACATTCCAACACCACTCACACACCCCCCAACAAGGGAATTAAGACAGCATGTGTGTGTGTGTGTGTGTATGTGTGTGTGTGTGATGCATGTTAGCGAGCTAAATATCAGCCGTTGAGGAGGCAATTGGCAACACTCATTTCCACTCCATCTCCCTAATTACCCACACCTTTCTGCTTTCACACTCCATATTTTAAAATGTTATGTAACGTAATGTTGAAGGGATACAACTTTCCTCATTTATAATTTTACTCATCACAATCACCCTAAAAATACTTTAGGTTCCAAGTTTATTCAAGACATCTTCAGGTCATGAGACCCACTAATCCCCCATACAAGAAAGGGTGACCTGACACTCCATCAGAATGTCAGTAATATGAGACCACTAATCCCTCACCCTACCTCCACCTGACATTGCATCAGGTCAGTTACAGGAGACCCACTAATCCCCCACAGCTCCATGAGAGTGGAAAATAAGAGTCTTTGCTGTAACACAGCTTCATTCATGCCCATATCCTACAGATTTTTAATTTTTAAATACATGTATTTAACCAAACTTTTAGATAAACTATTCTGGATTATTATAGTCATGAAATGGAGTTTTTAACTTAATTAGAGCTGCATTTACGGGTGCCGGTATTTTAGACTCAAAGAAAACATCCTCAGCACCCAGAAATGTTCTGGGGTAGTGGGCTAGTGTCCATCTGTGCAAGATGTCTAGTTTAGACACTCCGAAACTTTTCCAAGTAACGGGAAAAGATTCTGGGGATAAAGAATTTTTCCGGGTTTGAGAAAGTCGTCTGGTTAGCCAGAAATCTCTCGTCCCAGAGAGAGCTCGGCACCAATTGTTCCGGATAACGAGGATATCACTAGTACAGTATTTTAATTAATCTCCACTGGATATTTTTTATTCAGTTTCCCTGTCAAACAAATCTAACAGGACAGAGTTATAGACACATGGGGGAAATAAAGGGAACATAATGTCTTCTTTAATTTCTTAACATAGCTGACCCACAGAAATTCTTAAAATTTATTTTATTTAGTTCCTGGTAAAATCTATGGTAGCTCAGTTCTAAGCATAACTCATCATATCTTAATCACATCACTGGAGTCAACCTAACTACTCAACACACTACCTTATATTCACTGCATTTATTTTATCTGTAATGAGCAGTTCCCAAAGTTATTAACTGGATCACAATGCTCCTAATAATGAGGAACAGAGAAGACATTCCATTCATTAAATAAACAAACTGCTTTAATACTACACTATATACAATGCAAGGTAAACATAAAAAGAATACCCAGATTATAATACAGTACATGTATACAGAATTGAATAACCACTATTTTTTCATCACCCTGTACAATCCTCCTTAGTAGCATTTTCTACCAATCTTATCAACATAACTACTTAAAGAGGCAATAATACCTCAGTCGTAATAGCAACAAGTGTATTCCACATGATTAATATCTAATGAACATGGAAGTATGACATGAGGTGTATGATCTTAGGGCTGATGATGGTAATTCAGTTGTCATCACACTTACTTTGTTGGCTGGTCTCCGCTGACCAATTGTGGACTTTCGTGGCTCGTTGGCAAGTTTCTGGGCATCAGTGGTGGACATGTTAAGAGCAGCTTCAACATTTGGGGCAGCCTGAGAATTCTCTGGTGACTCATTAGTGCCATTACTTATACTGGAACCCTGAGAATAAAAAACATATAGCATTAGTAACAGTCAAAAGAAATTCTGTACTGTATTAATTTTGCAAGGTCTGTAATTATTCCTCCATTAAAATACATAACAGTGGTCTCACAGTTCTTATACATGAGGCTCTATGGGAGAGAAGTTGATGGGTGACAAAAGCAAACGATACAAAACATGGTTAAAGTTTAGAGGCGAAGAGGTAATTAACCCTTTGGCCCTGGGTGACTTTCCAGAACGTCCGCCTATTTTCCCGCCATTTTTTTTATTTATTTATTTATTTATTTTTATTTAATTATTTTTGGTAAAGTTGAATTTTTTTCTCGATTTAACCCGGAGTTTAAGGGTTAAACACATCTCAAGCTACTTGTTGCTGGTTTTGTTCTTGGCTGGAGTGTTTCATATAAACAAGTTAAGAAAGTGCTTGAGACAGGATTTACTCTCAAGAAAACTATTACTAGATAACATCAGTAAAAACCAAACATATTCTGCTAACAACCAAACACAAATTCTGATAACATAACCAAACACAAATTCTGATAACATAACCAAACACAAATTCTGATAACATAACCAAACAAAATTTCTGAAGTACCTTAGCACAAGGAAACTCAGGCTGGGATTGAATGAGGACTGGAGATGCAGGAGCAGCATTGTTGACATGGTCATCGAAAAAATCGACCTCCTTCTTCACCTCAGGGACCACATTTTCAGTATGTCCAACATCAATATTGACCTGTAGAAGCAAATTTTATAAGATTCAATTCTCCTAATAAGTGTGTGATACTGTAATTAAGTCTTTTGGGAATGGAAGCAGGCCAAATCAAGCTAAAGTTCAATTAGAAATGGGTCCAAATCTTAATAGTTAGATCAAGTTATATTAGGGCAGCCTAATAGGAGGGGCTCAAGTGGTCAGTCACCTAACATATACACACTCCTTAAAATAAAAACAAACAAAATTAAGAACACATTGGGATTGTCTTTTCCATGAGAGAGATTAGTTTATAGCCTATACATACTGTACTGTATCTGCCACAAGTTCAGATTACACTAGACATTTTCCAAAGGGAACAAGACAGCAGTCATCCACTACAGATCCCCAACTATGGACAGAAATTGAACAGTAAGTATTATCTTACCCAAAAATACCTCCTGACTAACATGTCAAACTGGAAAGAAGCTCTTATTAAAATATATGGAACAGTTTTTTGGAGTTATGTTGTGGATTGAAAACTAAAGACAAGGTACAGTACTGGCCAAGTTTTGAGACAGTTCATACACCAGCAAACTACAGTCATGTTGCACCTTACATGCATTTTACTTATGCAAATTTATCTTACGCACTTGACTTAGGAAAAGAAAAAAATGCAGTGAGTGTAGGAGCGTATGGTTGGGGGGAGATATTCTACTCGAACCTCTCCCGATTCTGTCAGGACGGTAGTCTCCCCACTATGGCATCTATTTTTATGGCAGAGCTCTCGGGTATTTTACTTGCCCTCAAGAGTATTTTTACTCAACCTCAGTGATTTTAGATATTTTTAACAATTCTCGTAGTGCTCTACAGGCCTTAGCTAGTGTCTCATCGCTCCATCCCTTAGTTATAGATATTTTATAGTGGCTGTTTCTCATTGAACGTCCGGGCTGGAAAGTCTGTTTTTGCCAGGTTCCGGCCCATGTGGGGGAGAAGGGGAATGAGCATGTTGATGCTGTGGCGAAAGTAGCTGCTTCTCGCCCTGTGGCACATCATTCCCCTCTACTTGCCTCTGAAATGAAGCCAGTAATAAGAGCTGCCATCCGCTCGAGTTGGCAATGCAGGTGGGATGCTGTCGGAGCAAACAAGCTCAGCGACATCCATCCTGCATTGGGTGCCTGGGGATATCAGGGACTGTCACGCCGCTGGGAGACTACTTTGACCCACCTCCGTATTGGCCACACACGAGCGACTCGTGGTTTTTTAATGGAGAGAGCGCCCCCTGCCTATTGTGATAACTGCCTGGTCCCACTCCTGGTGGAGTGGCCTAGTCTAAGAGATCTTCGCAGTAAGCATCTCTCCCAGTGCCGGGGGGAGACAGGTCTTACCGTCTCTCTTTGGTGCTGGCAGGGGAATGGGAGGGGAATACATAACATTGATACATAGCATACAGTAATACAGTATAGTAAACCCTCGAAGATCCTCACCCGGTAAATCCGGATTTCGAAAGATTCGGAAAAAAAATTGGAGGTTCTGGGCTAAATAGCCTCCCTAAGAAGCATTCCCAAAACAAGGTGAAGGTAGTTTTAGGCTTAAAGTTTTTATCTTATAAAATTTCACAGACTAAACTTAGCAGAATATGTATATATATTTGCTTATTTCTAAGCCACATAAGAGTACAGTATTCTAATTTTTACTCTTTTGTTCTGCAATAAAGAAAATGGTTTTACTAGGTTGACCTATAATATCCTTAGTGATATAAGTTACATGTTTATTTACATACTCTGATGACTTGAATTATACGTAGCGAAAACAATTATTATTTTTTTAATTTATTCTTTATTTTGTATAAATGACCAAATTACAGTACGTACTGTAGTATAAATAAGTGCCACACTGTTTACTGTTTATGTAGCGTTTCCCCTCCATCACCTACCATTCCCCTCCATCACCTACCATTCCCCTCCATCACCTACCATTCCCCTCCATCACCTACCATTCCCCTGCATCACCTACCATGCCTGTGTCACCTACCATTCCCCCAAGTTACCTACCATGCCTGTGTCACCTACCATTCCCCTTCATCACCTACCATGCCTGTGTCACCTACCATTCCCCCAAGTTACCTACCATGCCTGTGTCACCTACCATTCCCCCAAGTTACCTACCATGCCTGTGTCACCTACCATTCCCCTTCATCACCTACCATGCCTGTGTCACCTACCATTCCTCTCACTTACTACAATGCTTCATTCTTCGCTTGCAGTGCTGGTAAGTGTTATGTTTTGAAAATTATTAATTATGTGTATACAGGAGGTACCCAGGTTACGAACGGATTCCATTCCTGAGGACGTTCTTATGTAAAAAATGTACATAAGTCGTAACACATGCTATGTGCATACCGTACTTACAGAACAATATTTAAAATCCCACTATATCATAGACTAAGTCCTTATATACATCTAAAATCACCTAATTTAAGAGAGAAAAAAAAAAAGAATGACAAAATATAGAAAATGAAAGCAAAAAATAAGTCATCAGGTAAATAAAATACTATAAATTTCAAGTTTAACCTCGTTCGTATCGACGGGCATTCATAAGTCGGGGACCCCATGTACAGTCAAGATCAAAAGTCTTGAACACTTGACAGTATTTAGCATGTAAGTACCCGAAGATCTTAAGTATTAAAGAGAATTTTATCCCATTTTGTGGTTCAGGCATAATATGTGTTGACAAGTAGTGTTATTAGCATATATCACAATCATATAACTCACAAGTAGATGCCAGATATTGTTATGTGTCCAAGGCTTTTGACCCCGACTGTACATATATGGGATGATAATTTTTTATTGTACTTTTATAGGGGGGGGGGGGTACCTTGATAAGTCGGGATTTGGGATAAGTTGGCAAGGCCAGAGCCCCATTATGTGCCGAGTTATCAAGGATTTACCGTTTCAAATTGTGGAATACTGTATCCTGACTTTGTTATGGTACACAGCTGGTAGTTTTCAGCTCCCAATTATTTACCTTTCCAGTTTCTTAATTTTGAAATATCCTCATCTTTCTCCCATCAGGCCACCATCTCTCTGCCTTTGCTTTTTATAATTAAATACTGTTAGTCTTTTATTAGTTATAGTATACTTTTCAAAGAATGAGTGAGGGAGGGAGGGAAGAAATGGTAATGATCAGGAGGAAATAAACATTTGATGGCTTTGTTGGTTATCCTTAGTCAATTGCTTCACTGTTTACCTATGTTTGTATACCTGCACTATCTAGGTACAGTCACCCACAAAGGTCCTGTTGCCTTCCTCCTGAACCACGAACCCTGAAATTCAGACTTGTGAATCCAAAGCATTTATGGATAGAATAATGTAACAGTGTCTACTGCTTCAAGATCACAAGTTTGAAACTCAGGGTTCGTGGAAAAACAGGAGGCAAAATGACCTTTGTGGGTGGCTGTATAATAGTTATTTATCTACACAGTCAATGTTACAATGTATACTTGTATGAAGATTTTACTGAATACATATCTATCTATTTAATCTAAGAAAAGGATATATAACAACATGGATGGGATGAAACAGCACAGAGAAACATACACACTGAGCCTGAGGAAGTGCAGGTGGAGTTTCTACTTGTTTCTGCCCTTTACTGTTACTTTGTACACTTTCCTGCACCTCTCTCACCGATCCTTCCACCTCACCCCATTCTTTGAGGAGTCTACTTCCATAGATCTACCTCACACAAAAATGAGAGGGGAATACAGATAATACATGAAAATGAACCTTTTTCTTCATGTTGTATCACCCAAGCCTTCTCTAACACTGGTAATACAATAGACAATGAGGCTGATAAAGAAGACAGCTATGTAATGGTTTTCAGCATTGGAAAAATAATTTAATCCCTTTTTCATGCAGAATGAGGAATATGCACCATATAAATTTGGGTTATTCTGTTGAATAATCATGTATTATCAAGTAAACAAGTATCAAGACAAGTATCCCATCCCATACATACCATTTCTAACCAAATGGGCCCCAACCTAACCTGATGCAACTATTAGTAGTAAGGCCCATTAGGAATAAGTTCTCATAAGACTGGGCCCCAATCCCAGTGGTTAGACTGTGGCCCATTTGACCACTCACCATACACACATTAACACGTGTACAGTACAGACACACAGTAAACCACATGGCTCAAATCAGCATCGTAACAATAAAATATTTTCGTTCACTCTCCTGAATGGTGCACTGTGCTGTGTACTATATAACTGCACACTTTAGGCATCATACATAAAGGGATTTGTGAACTTTTAAATTCATTATACTGTACAGGGTACTGTACAACTCTACATAAATACCCGACTAAAACTTTATCTTTCCTGGTTGGTGTAAATAACTGCACAATTTACATATTATACAATATGATTTGTGGACTATTAAATTAATTATATAACTAACTATCAAAATCAGCCAAAACCTCCTGTTAGATTTTAAAAGTATGAAGAAGGTAACTCTTCTGAAGGTAGACACAATATAGGGCAACACAAGGTGGGAACTTGACAAAACCATTACAACCCTTAGTATCACACTGTGAGCATTACAAACAATATATAACCATACCAATGACTCATGCAAGGAGACTTGACATCACTTTGTCGAAACTTCCATTGTTACCAAGACCATTGTTGGTTATTTTATGGGCTGTGGATACTAATTTGGATCAGATTTTAAATATATATTTTTCCAAAGTGCTGCAAATACATTGTGTGTACAAAATAACCAATTCCGGCAACAGACATGAAATAATCAAAGTTCATTTTCTATGTCACACCTTGTGGTTCACATCTTAGATGAAATGTGACCATAGCAGACTTGTGCAAAAATAAGCCAAACTGTATACAGTAAAACCTCGATAAATTGGACTTCAACATAGCGGAATTCGCTCTTTTGGGACTCTGAGATGTTCTGGTCACACAGAAAAAAAAAAAGTTTCAAGAAATGGGGAAGATTAAATAAAAAAAATCTTATGAAATGAACAACTCTTTCTGAATACAATACTGTACAGTGGTCTAATCAGAATTGCTATAGGCCTACTGAGAACTAAGACACTCGAGTATGTAAGCAGGCTGGGGCTGATCAGGTGTTACCACAGTCGTCAGGTTTATTTATTGATTCAGTATTATATTCTCATATGATTGTCCTCTTATGGTTCATCATGATTAATATAACATCTTCAATAATAGAGAAAAAATACACTACTGTATGTTATTTGTAATATGACTTGAAAATAAAAGGATAAGCTGTATCAGAAGGTTGTTTACTCAAGATGCTTTCAGTAGACCAACTTACAACAGGGGTCACTATAACACACTGTATAATGAAGATACCTTCTAAAAACGTTATTTACTACATTTGAGTGTTATAGGATGACTCAGTTTGGCTACGTACTTGAACACTTAGACAAATGATTAAAGAATAAACTAGGGTATATGCAGATACATAATACTTTACACTGAAATATTACTTATTAAGTGATGATAAATACATTACAATAGTATTTATTTAGTGAAGATAATACACAACTGTACTAATTTACTAGGTGTTGAAGACAGACAATTTTGTATGCCAATCAGCTGTTTGCTCTTTGTAAACAAATGACTCAGTTCAGTGTGGGATTCTTTTTTCAGGAAAGCCGATTCTTTTAGAATAATATCTTATCAACCTGGCACCTACGCTACCCCCGCACCCCTTGCCAGCTGCTCCCAGATAAACATTTGTCTTCTACATACAATATACTCCTACACTTATTTGTTCTTATTTTTATCTTTATAGTACCGTACAGTATACAGTTTTCTCTTTATTAAGAAGACAAATTCTGTGGTTACTTACATATAACACTTTACAGTAAATAACAATCATCTCGGTGACAAGAGTTGTTGACAACCAGACTTAAATGTCTGATTTTCAGCCCAGAGAGTTCTGTTTCATATTTTTTATTGTTGATGTAATATTCTTTTAATAACTTTGTTATTCACTTAAAGACCTTAATTGTTGAAGTGCAGTACTGTAATAACATAACAACAACTGATTTTCTTTAATCAGTTCAGATAAGCAGTGTTATCTCCACCTCCTCCCCCCTCCCCATATATATTTTCTTTTTTTTCGGACTTTCGAATTTTTTGGACTGGGGTCTGCCACAATTATTCCAATATATTGAGGTTCTACTGTATTCTGTACACAACAAACATTCCCAACTCTCTTGCAGAAAAAGTTTAAAGTTGGATTGTGTCAGTAGCCACATCCTAGAAAACAACACTTTCATTTTGGGCACGAATAAAATCGGAAGGTGACGACAAACTGCTGTATGTTGTCTTACACAAAACATGATTCATATACAGGCATATATAGATTTTCAATCAAAGCAAATACTGCCACACTCAAACAGCATTAACTGTTCACCCTCTCACCACCATGGGGTCTGGATGAGTGGCTGATGGAGATGCAGATAAGCTTGGTGGTGACCATGCTGCAAGGCCAACTGAGCTAGCCAGTCTTTGGGTTTGGTCAGGATTTAGGTCCATCTTGTATATGCAAAGAAATATTTACAACAACGGCTACTTATCCTCAAAGAGTTTTATGATATGGTGGTTGCATATCATAAAACCTTCTCCTTAAATACTGTAATATACATTTTTTATGATGTTGTCTCTACTGTTGTTTGTTTTTTAGGAGTTTCAACTGCCAGGTTTATTAAGCACCATTTACCAAGTAATAATGTCTACAACAAAACACATTTGAGAATTAACTACGAGAGTATTATTCTGTGATTTATTGATTCACTATTAACCTACAATTATAAACACATGTAACCTTCTATTAACTAAACAAAGAAATCAATACAATACCAATATGCCACAGATCTTGTGATAAAATGAATCTCACTCAGGTCCCCAATTTTTTTTGTTTTATTTATTGTAAATTTTGAAATTTTCTCAGAGGAATCAAAATTCCCTGCAATGGTATCAGTCACTGACACCCTCCACGTCTAGTTGTCACACTCTGTAACCGACTCACAGTGAGGCTCCACACCGTCTCTTACAGCCTAATAATCTTAACCCCATACTGTACCAAGTTTATCTTACAGATTATTAATCATCCCTCAGTTGCATGTCATCATCACCCACTAGTAGACTTACCCTTGTTCCATGAATCCTCATGGCCTGTTGACCCATCTGGGAGAGCTTCTCACGGTAGAGCTGCGCTGCACGTGAATTATATTTCTGTTGGGCATCTGTAGTTGTGCAATTATGTTGACGGAAGAAAGTTCCCTGCAGGTATGAAAGACGCGAGTTCAAGCTCTAAGCAACATTTACTTATTTCCTATATTTTTCAACCCTATTCCTTTTTTGTGTGGGCCAAATATGACAAAATAACAAAAACTTAAAAGTTCCTAAATCCGTGACACATTCGGCCCCAAGGATTTTGAATAAAGAATTCTCAACCTCTACCAGGATATTGACTCCGCAATTTAGCAGTTCAGTTTAAAATGAAAAAGCTGAATGTACTGTATGTCTCTTACATATAAAGAGCTACTGTACAGTACAGTATTATCAATACTGTACAGTGATTTCTACAAGGGGGAAAACTTACAGCATTAGTATTACCACCAAGTTGCATATTCCGGAGTTGTAACCACGTCCAGTTTATGTCTAGCTGGGTTGACCTTACAAATGTCAAATGCACTCCCAGGTTGCGATGTACAGCTGAACAATCGATGCATATGAATACACCGTAGGTCACCGAAGCCCAGGTGGGGTTCTTGGCACTGCAGTCGAAACATACCTGTAAGCATCAGAGGAGGTTGAATTATATATCTGCTTTAGGTTTGGTATAAATAACCCAAGGGGTTTGGGTTTATCATAACCAGTGATTAGTCTCACTTCATTCCCTATAGCCTTTCACAAATCACTAGATCAAATTAATTTCAGGATATTTAAGACATCAGTAAATTAAACTATGTACAGTATAATCAACTCTGGCCCACTGAAGTGACATGACTTCAACAAACACACATCTTATCCATATACAGTAGTACAATACAACTAATCTCTATATTACAAGTATTTCAGCTTAAACATGAAATAAACAAACACACAATAATTATGCAGTATCCCTAAACAAAACTATTCTGTACTCTATAATGAAGTGAACATTCTTGACCCATCTTAAAGCTCCATGCAGCTAACCAACCCAATAACAACTACAAAAACAAAACAATTCATGACCGATATATAATATGGTATAATCGTCCCTATCTTGACATATAACATGACTTGGAACATAGAGGAATACTAGGGGGAAAAAAGTTTCCCGAGGGCTGCATCAGTGTTATAAGAATGATTATGATGAGAAATAAGTGTGAGTATGGTTCAAAAGACCAAGATAAGTGAGATATCTCAGGTAAGATACAGTAATGTCGATTTGGTTCTGTATCAGGCTGTACAGATTATGTGGAGTATTTACTTGTCCCAGGTGAGTAACTTTAAAAATGTACTTGTCTGGATATTTTATTTTAATTGCCCTAACAAATTTTCTGAAGAAATTTGCTTGCTCAGAACTTTTTATGGGAAAAGTTAAATAAACATATTAAAACATTCAAATAGATTGTGTTTATCAACTCCCAGATCACATGTGTCCTTCTAAATGGTGTCAGTGGCTGTAACCCTTCTCATGTAATGTCATAATACCAGTCATTTAACCTCACACAACCTGTGTGGAGAGGCAGAACCTGTCATCACCTACCTAACTACCTCTTTTGCTTATAATCTAGTGTCAGTGGTGGTAACACGTATCATGTGTGGTCATTAGTATTCCAATCACCTCATGTCTACAGCCTCTTACCTTGGTGGTTACTTTGAAATGTTGACAATTTGACACCGACTGACTAGAGGCAGATTGGCGGCTTAATTTAGGGATAAATTACCTGCACCTGCCATAGGTCACTAATCTTAGTACACTGATAACAAGCAGCCCAGTGACAGACATCCCTGGCTAAACATGTACAGCGAAGTGAGGTAACATAGCATCTGACATATTCCTGTCTAGGTATGTATCCTCTCAAAATATTAGCTTGTCCACTGGCCAGGCATCTGGCATATGGACACTGCTAATATGCACAGCCTGTTCTGTACTTAAGCTTATGACTTGAACATTAGCTTATTTTATATAATTTTTCCTAGATTTTAAATTTTTCCTGCAACTACTGTAGTAGTAGAGCAGTGCTACTCAAAGTGGTGGTACACGGACCAGTGCCACTAGGCGAGCCATCTGCTGCCGGTCCGCGACGAGTTTCCAGAAAAGAAAGAAACAATAGTATAATTTAACAGTAACGCATCCAGGGCGAGAGCCAGTGCCACTTAGGTCAAATATCCCTTAACAAATTTAGAGTGGATGACAGCTACACGAGAATACGGTAGATGACATTATGAAGACCGCAGAGGTCATTTGTCCCACTGGGGAATTGAGTACAGTATTATATAACACCTGACCTCAATGAGGTCAGGTGTTATCCTCAAACTCCTGACACGAGGTCCTCAGGTCAGGCTAGGCGGAGGTAAGCACTCACAGCCTGTCAAGTTAATATCATCCAAAGCACAAATGTGGAAAATGTAAACAAATTCCACAAAATTGGGAGATTCAGACTTAGGCAAAAATTTAGTCTATCAGTATTCCTTCGAATATATGGCTCCTTCACCAGAACATCAAAAGCAAGAACACCATCAATGACAAACACAGAAAACACGAAAAAAAAAAATTGACACACTGTTGTCTCCACCATTGGTTACACAAGGTAAGCTTTTTATAGTATTAGGACTTTTAAATGTCTGAAAAGGTAATTTTTTTTATTATAGTGTCAGACATCCAGCAAATTTTAGGATTTTAAGTTTCAGTTAGGTTAGGTTGAAATTATGTTTTTCCGATTGTTTTTTGTGTGTTTTGGTCAATTCTGATCTTCATTTCTATTGCAAAATACAGCACTACTTTTTTATATTTTCCCTCAACCAAAACCCCTGGTTCCAACTGGGGGTACCCCTTTATCTTTGGATAAGGGTGGGGGGAGGGGGTAGCTCAAACAGTAGTGATTTACTGTAGAAATAAAGATTAGAATCGTTCAAAACACATAAAAAACCATCGACAAAACATAATTTCAACTTTCAAATAGGTGGATGACCAAAACGATAATTTTACCTTTTTTGTGTGCGTGTTTTAACCCCACATTTTCCCTCATCTTCATTACTAGTGTAAGTGGTCATATCTCCATAAATATCCATCTCCAATGGAAATAAAGATAACATTCGTTTATAACAGGAAAAAAGCACAAGAAAAACCTATTTCAGTAATTAATTTCCCATCAGGGTATGAAATGAATCTAACTCTGAATATTTGAAATATCTCTCTGTTCACTTCCCTCAAATAGTGCATTAAATTGCACAGAATATTACATAGAACACAATAATTGGTATTTTTGCATTTATACATTCCACATCCCTACCACTAATCTATTATCATATTCTAATAAGACGTCTAATTATAAGATCATTTTCGTCTATTACATTACCGTCGCAAATGCATAATAACGGAGATAGCATATCCAAAATTTTCTCTATTTTCTTCCATTAATCTTCTGCCATTATCACCTACCTCACCTCTCACACTGCGTGTCTCCTTCATAAATCATCACGTGCATGTGTTCCCATACACGTCCCGCGAACAATCAAAAGCGTTTTTTTTTTGCAACCAATTAAAATGATGTGGTTTAATTCACGGTACAGTATTTTTGATCCAATCAAAATCGATTTTTATTTTGGATCTCTCATATTTCCAAATTCAAATTCATTTCCCACCATGGAAGTCTGCGATGGGTGTCACTTCAATTATATGGAGCTGATTGTGAGTTTTTGGGAAAAAAACGAAGAAACTATAGCATTTTTTCGATCACATGGTGTTCTTCCAATCTCAGTGAAGTGTTCTAAGTGCAAGACTGAATGTAAATATCACAAAGACCAACATATGTGGCGTTGTGTAAGAATCTCAGAATCCAACGACGAACAAGAACCAGCCCAGTAAGGTAAGAAATAGGTGATTCCATTATATGGTGAGAGTCAGTTAGGTTAGGTTAGGTTTGGTTTTTCTAGTGTTTCTTGGTGTATTTTTTATTCACTTAGCCATTATTTTCTTTTCGAAAAACGTCCCACGAAAAAAAAAATCTATAAAAAAACCGGTCAATTTCCGACGGAAATGAAGGTCATATTCTGTCTCAACACACACAAATACACTAGAAAAATATATTTTTTACTTTCTAACAGAGTGGAAGGTGGAAGTGCAAATTTACCCCAATAATTTAAACCAGACACCAGCTGTTTTATCACAAATTATTTTTTTTCCTGATATGACTATTGGATTCTGTATACACAGTCTTCACGACAATATATAAACGGTAACAATAAATAATAGCTTTGAGGACAAGATTACGTGCGGAAAATTATTACTTACTAAAATTACTAACACTACTTCACTGAAGCTAACAAACATAAAACCTGAAACACGACGGTTCTTATAACTTAAGACGTGTCAAACTAAATATTTCCTCTCGTGAACTAAAGTGAGTTAAAAATGCCGCCGATATTCTACTTATCGTAATAAAAAGGGAATAAGGTCAGTCGTTTTTGTTTAATGAGTGAGGGAGAACAAGTGTCAGTGCTTCAACTACCAAACATCGATTGTCACAGTTGTTGTGGCGACATGACATAACTTGAAGATCATTTAAGCAACAATGTTGATTATGTCCTTCTCTATTTCTACAACTTACTTTATTGGTTGGTATCGCTCTGAGTCGCTTAAAAGTAGCCTCAATATCACTTTTTGAAGGTCCATTCTCTGCCATTTTGGTTTAGGGACTGACGTGTGTTTGTTTACGTCATCTGGTGGTGACTCTGGGCTCAGCCACAGGGGACACCACCTCCTGCCCCGCCAACCTTTAAACACCTTTAATCCCAGGCAATGGAAAACACAAACCCCCACAGTTGGGTTCGGTGGGCTGATATTTTTGTGGTTTGTTTTTCCTTCCCTTCATTTTTGTTAGATTCAATATTCCCTTCTTTTGTTGGGTATTTGTTGCTTATGTATTTTGACACAAGCCTGATCCTGGATGGGGTCAACGGGCGCCCATGATCCCTCTATTCAATTTCAATTTCAATTGTTTATTCCTTGATAGAGGAAGCGGGATCCTAGTGCTGTCACTAGGTACCCCTGTACAATGACACCAGAATCATCTGGCAAGTGTGAAAAGTATATACAGTATAAATATTATAAAGGGGCTTACTAAAGCCTAAGGAAGGAAGGATGTTCCTTTAACACATAATTAATATTATTTACAAAATATCTGGCCAGTATTGGGAGGATCATCGTGTCTCCGTCAGGGGGTCGTGGAGTGGTGGTCCAGCAGGCGTCACGGAAGCGTTGTGTGTGGGGACATCTTAGGAGGTAGTGGATAAGGGTGCGGCTGTCGGGTCTTCTGCATAACGCACAAGAGCGTTGCTCAGGGGATGTGGGGATACCAATCTCCCAAGCAAAGTCATACCCGATGATGATACGGGCAGCAATCACGTCCCCCTTCCGCGACCCTTTCCCGTAGACGTACGAGAAGTCAGGAAGTTTACGGAGGACATCGTACCATGTGGGCGGGGAGTCCAGGGGGATGGCTGCTTCCCGAGCTTCTCTCTGTTTGCGGCGGATTTGGGTCCTAATCTGTAAGAGTGTTCGAGGAACAACGTAGTCAGGTGTGGCCTTGTTGCAGCCAGTCTTGGCAAGGTCATCTGCTGCCTCATTCCCCAAGATACCGACATGACTAGGTATCCATAGGAATGTCACAGGACGGCCTTCATCCTGAAGTGTGGATGTTAACCCTCGTATTCGGAGGATGAGGTCCTTATTTTCCCCAGATCCAAATGCGATCCCGTCGAGAGCAGACCTGGAATCGCAGCAGACAAGCAAGGGGCAGAAACCATCTGCTTCTTCCTCAGCGAGAAGGGCAGCAAGGAGGGCTATTAGTTCAGCCTGAGTGGAGGATGCCCCGTCAGAAACTCTGAGAGACAGTTTGATAGGCTCAGGGCATGAGGACGGGAGATGTAGACACCAGCCCCGGCCCTACCTGTAGCGGGGTCAACAGAACCATCAGTGTAGAGGACGACCCTACCTGGGGACCAGTGAGCGATCCTGGAGAGGTGGTATTTGCAGAGAATAACAGGGTTCACCTGGGATTTCGGGAGCGGTCCACTGAGGGCAATCACTTCAGGTTGAAAATCCAGCCAGGGAGAAGGAGACGAACCAACAGCAGGGGTGACAACAATATCAGGCAGGAGGTCGTGTTCCTGAAGGGCTCGGATGAGTGACCCTCGCCACTGTCTTCTAGATGGAGGTCGGTCTCGGACAGCAGTAGTCAAGTTGGTTTGGACATAGTTGCCCCTAGGATCCCGTAGAATGGAAACGGCAGTTTTTAGGTAAAACTCCTGGACACGATCCTGTAAGGGGGAAAGACCAAGTTCGGTATATAGAGAAGTAGAGCGTGTCCACTGAGGAGCCCCAAGGATGATACGAGCAGCTTTCCTCTGGATAACTTCGAGACGGTTGACAGCAGTCCGACTAATGTTGACGAGGGCAGGGGCGGCGTAGTCGACACAGGAACGGACAAAAGACTTGTACATGGTGAGAAGTACAGGGATGCTGGCACCAAGGGAACCCCTGCACATGGTAGAGAGGGGAGCGAGACGCCGAAAACATATGTCTCGAAGATAGCGGACTTCAGGGATCTGACAACGTGTGCGAGTTACATACACACCCAGGTATTTTGTCTCATTAACCCAGTCCAAGGGCGTTCCTGATAAGAAAAGGGGTGGAGGTACAACACGACCGTGCCACATGGCTTTTGTTTTCGCAGTTGAAAGAAGGAAACCAAGTGAATCACACTCTGGAGACCAGATCAAGGGCTTCCTGCATGCTGAGGTAGTCAGGGGCTTGGAGGAGGACATCGTCGGCATATCCTGAGTGGACAACTTCTGTCGGCCACGGGAGTGATGCAATGGAGTGCATGAGAGTGTTAAACAAGGTGGGACTCAGGACTCCACCTTGAGGGGTGCCGAGGTTCATTTCTTGAACAGGAGACATAGAGCCTTCAACGCGAACCCGGGCCTGACGTCCAGTGAGGTAAGAGGCGATCCATTGTAGAAGTCTCCCTTTAACCCCTAACCGTGCAAGTTCAGCTAAAATGAGGGCAGGCTGAGCCGTATCAAAGGCTCCCTTGATATCAAGGAAGACGGAGACGCGGGCAGTCTGATTGCAATAAAAGGAAGCAATGGAGTGTGCTGTGCTGCGATGTTGAATGAAACCATTGAGGGAGTTGTGGAAGCCGCCTATGGTGTGAAGAAGGCGACGATGGAGTATCCTCTCCATCATCTTGCAAACACAGGAGGTAAGACTAATGGGTCGATATTTCCCAGGATCTCCCGGCTTAGGGATGGGGATAATAGTGGCATTTTTCCAGTTGGACGGGAGAACCCCATGTTCATAAGACATATTGTAGAGAGCAAGCAAGGGGCCGTTAGGAATATTAGTACAGGCGTTGAGGACGGAGTAGGTTATCTGATCATCCCCAGGAGAGGTGTCTTTTCTAGAGCGACGAGCACTGTCAAGCTCGAACTGTGTGATGGGATGATCAGTGGGGGCAGGGGAGGTAAGAGCAGCACGAACAACAGGCTCAGACGCATCGATGCGGGCCTGCACTGCCTCCTGCATTGGATCTGGAAGTGCCTCAGGGGAGGAAGCTCGTGCCCAGTCCTCCATTAAAGAGCAGGCAAGGGAGGCGGGGTCAGGGTGGGGAGGAGGCCTCCGTCGAGTACCCCGTATAGCATTAATCCGATTCCATACATAAGAGGGTGACGACTGGAACGATAGAGACCCCGTGAAGGATAGCCAGTCCGCCTCACGTATCCGACGGCGCTCCTGAGTTGCAAAGGAGCACCAATTTTTGAAGTCTTCCCAGTCCTCTGGAGACCGAGACCTCCGTATGGCAGAGTGGAGATCACGGGTTACCTGCCGGAGATGTCTCATGGCAGGGATACGATACCAGTAGTTGGTGGCACTTCTGGGGTGACGGGGAGGGCGTGGAGGGGTAGCGCGATTGACAGAGTCATACACGGCATCAACAAAATCAGCGCTGTAAGAGTCAAGGGACTGAGGGACAACATAGGAATCCGCCCAGGTAGAAAGGTATTGGGTAAAGGAAGGAACAGCATCTTGTGTGAGACGAAGGCGAGGGGATCGATAAGGAGTTGATGTCGGGGCAGAGAAGGAGAGCCTGAGATGGGTAGTAACGGCAAGATGGTCACTATACAGAGCAGGCTCGGTGCAGACGGTAGGATGAAAGGAAGTATGACCGTTCAATAGTAAGCCAACATCAAGGAAACTATGGGGGAGGCGAGTAGGATCGTCAGGACAAAGAAAGCGAACATCATCATCCCCATTAAGAAACTGTGAGAGATGTGATCCATTAAGGGTACATGGAGTGGGATGATCCGGAGTAAGAGTGGGATGGCGGGCATTAAAGTCGCCAAGAACAATAGTGGGAACCCCATCATGGAGGTCGTGAAGAACCTGGGGGTCCAGAGAATTACTCTTGAAATGAACATTGACTACACGAAGGGTCCGGTCACCAAGAGTAAGGGAGACAGAAAGTAATTCAGACGGGGGTCCATGTGAGTCAGGTGAAGGGAGACGAACAGATGGAATGGTGTTACGCACAAGGGTGAGGAGGCCACGAGCCTGCCCACGGTACCGAGGCAGGGTGTAAACAGAATAGCCAGAGAGGCGGAGTGGAGTAACATCGTCTGTGATGGTTTCCTGAAGTAGAGCAACATCTACTTGATGGGAGAGCACAAACTGGGCGAGGTCTGTCCGGCGAGGTCTAAGTCCCTGGATGTTCCATTGTAAGAAGAGGAGGGAACGGCCTCCGGTGTGAGATGAGTCGGAGGGGCTAGACAGGGCTCCAGAGGAGGTACCAAATTCTGTTGAGAGAAATGGAGAGGGAGGAGTGGGAGAGCGAGGGATGGATCCTCCATCTCGGGAGATGGAAGGAGGCGGGTCATCAGGGCTTGCAAAGCGCGCCCCTGTTGGGTCAGGGTGTCCAGAATGAGTTGTTGTTGCTTCTGCAATGTCGCAATTGTTTTCACAAACAAGTCGAGTTGGGTTGAGAGAAGGTTGATTTGCTTGGAGTGGCGATCCAGACGGAGAGTGATTGTTTCCATAGAACCAACTTGGTGTACCTGTGCATGAGCTGGAGGTGGCGGCGAGGATTGCCGAGGGCCCGACTGGGCATGTGGTGGTGGTAGCGACGGAGAGGGACGGTGAGGGTTCAGTTGAGTAAGAGGTGGTGGTGCTGGTGAGAGACAGCGGGGGTCCGGGTGGGCAGGAGATGGTGGTAACTGTGTGGCAGGGCTGGCAACGACCTTGTTCCAAGAACGGTAGGGAGAGGGAGGGAGGGGAGAAAGGATGGGTGGTAGGGGTGATGGAGGGGGTGGTAGAGGAGAGGAGATCAATGGGAAATCCTTGGTGGATGGAAGAGGCGGTGGTGGATAGGATTGAGGTTTGGTTGACAGGGGCTTCGTCAGAGACGAGGGCGGTGGTACAAGGTAAGTTTTCCCCGGGCGAGTGCCAGGACGCTGTGGGCAATTGGCATTCCAGGCGTGGTGACTGCCATGGCAATTGACGCACCGTGGAATAACTGGGATTTTGTTCTGAATTTTCGATTTGCATTCCACTGTGTCGTGAGGACCTGCACAGAAACCGCAGGCGACCATCCTCGTGCACTCCCAGGTGCGGTGTTTCCACGATTGGCAACGACCACAGATTTTCGGGGTTCCGATAAATCGGTCGAGAGGACAGTTGTGAATTGGTCCTA